CTTTCTTCCATGATATCAAGTATTTTATCCGTCATCCATTCTTTCTTCTTTACGCTCTCCTGTAACATAAGTGTCTTGTTTGTCATTTCAACAGCTCTTTTTATTTTTCCCATTTAGCAACTGCATCTTGTGCGGGTTCACTCAAGTTTCCAATGTTTCTTCTTAAGGATTCCTGTACTTGTTATTTAATGTTGGGATCCTTTAATTTCCTGATGTTTATCTTGGTTTTGTTAGGCTTCCCTTCTATACGCTTTAGTTTGATTCCCAGTTTACCCACCACTGGTTTGTGATCCGATTGAGCGTCAGCCCCGGGATAGATTTTCACTGATGTGATTGAGTTTCTGAATCTTTCTGGTATGACAATGAAGTCGATCTGATTTCTTACATTTGATTCTTTTGAGTCTGCTGGCGACTTCCAGGTGTAAAGTCTGCGAGGGGGCAGTTTAAAAAAAGTATTAGTTATCAATAATTTTTGTTTCTGACAGAAGCGTATGAGACGTTTCCCTCTCTCGTTTCTAGTTCCTAATCCGTGTCCGCCCACAACCTTACCTCTGCCGACCTTTGCATTGAAGTCGCCCATTATTAATGTCACTTCGCTTTTCTTGGTCATTCTCATCAGGGTCTCCAGTTGTTGGTAAAATTCTTCCACAATCTCGTCATCTTTGTCTGCTGTTGGCGCGTATACTTGTATGATATTTAGATCGAGTGGATATGCTTTCAGCTGAAGGAGTGACATTCTGTCTGAGAAGGGAGTGTATGCTTTTACTGCACTTTTTATAGATGGGGACACGATTACGCCTACTCCATTTCTGTGTGTCTTAGTGACATTTCCGGAGTAGTAGATTGTGTGGTTTCGAATTGTACATTGCCCAGAGTTAGGCCACCGAGTTTTACTGACTCCTAGTATATTAATGTCTATTCTTTTCATCTCTTTGACGATATTGTGCGCTCTGTCGCTTTAATACATGGTTAGCACATATATTTAACGTACCATTAAATATACGTAAAGCTGCGTAAAAGAAGTTAAAAAAAAATAGGAAAATGTCCCACAAATAGTGTAAGTAACAAACTTTGAAAAATCGTATCTGGGACATTGTGAATCATGAGTACTTCTAGCAAACGTCATTTTGAAGAAAAAGGATTAAAGTTTTTCTTTTCTATAGAGCCATACCTATACCCTCGTGAAAAAAGTTATGTGGTAAAAACGAACAATCACATGCTTTGGTATTTTCTTTTCTTCGTTTATTATATATATTTTTGTAAAAAAAAAATTATTTTCTACATTTCTACATTTAGATAGAAAATTTAATTTTGAACAACTTTTCTGTGGATGTATATGTATGAAAAGTGCATAGAATTCACCCTAATGCATTCTAGTTCTTGGGGACTAATTCACTCCTTTGTCAAAAACGCACCCCTTTAAATGGTAGGACTCCGCGGTTTTTTATATTCCGAGGTCCATTGACCATATGAAACAATAAGACCCCTTTAACGTTGTAGTGGTTGGTAACAATGAGGTGCTAAGAAGAATGGTTACTAATAGAGAACTTCTAAATCTTTTAACAGAAAAACGAGTTATATTTACAGAGGAGAAAAATACAACTTCCTACGACTTATAATGGAAGAAAAAGTGGAAGGAAGAAGAGATCCAGGAAGAAGAAAATGTTCCTGGTTGAAGAATGTAAGAGACTGGACAGGTATGGATACTAAGAAGAGCTCAAGATAGAGAGCAATTTGCTATAGTTATAGCCAACCTTCAGTAATGGAGAAGGCACTCATAAGAAGAAGAGTAACGTTGTAGTTTCTGGCTAAAGTACATAATCAATAGCTTATATAAATACGCACGTTAAAATTACTGTTTGATTTATTTTTGTAGCACATTTTCTAATTCTAAGATATAGCATATATGAAAAAGGTGTTTGCCTGATGTTAGAGAACACTATATTTGTATAGAACAATTTTATAAATATTATCTTATCTATAAATGTGTATGAATTTGTCAATATAACCTTCATGGCAAATATATAGTTAGACTTTATTTAATCATGTTGGTCAAGTACTGAAAATATCATTGTTCGGTACACACACACGTACATATCAAAATTGTTTAACAGGAAGATGCAAATTGTTAAAACGAGTAATTGCGATGTAATTGCTTAATTATACATATGGGAGGTATGCTGTATAAATGATATTTAATTATAAGGCAGTGGAATAATCAGTGTATTTTAGATAAGGAAAAACAGCTACTTCATTTTTGGTATGATCATATAAAAAGCGTGGGAAGAAAAATAATGGTGCGTAATTGACTGCATAGAAATACTCACTATCATCCAGCCTCAAAACTCCACTGTTAAATATAGGCTTCCTCCTTGTGTTTCCAACCCTGTCTGTCGTGCGCCACTCTCATCAAGTTTTTATTTGGTCTTCTTAACAGGTTGACTGCCGATCTATATTTTAAGATCACGGCTGCACCAAACATTTTATTTGCTATATTTACAATTTGTTTTGCAAACTGTATCGCCCAATCACCCAATATAATTTTATTGCCTTTGATTTTATCTATTTGCCCAACCCATTCATTTCAGTTTCAGCTTACAAGCAAAGCAGTAACATCTCCAGAAAATCCATCTCTCAGAAGACAACGGCTTATCCAATCGATGTATTTCATACCCTCTTAAATAAAAATGATGATTTTTTTAACCATGTTTCGTTTAATAATATTACTTTGAGGTTATAATCTTGTATAAAAAATCTTAAACTATTCACTGCTTCAACATTTTAGGTTATATTGTAGGATGTATGAATTCTTTAGATCCATCTAGATCTAGTAATTTTGTCTGTTTGTTGACGTTTCATGTGTAATTAGCTAGTTCAAGTAGGTGATTAGGTCTTCCTTATGTCACCAATTCAGCTTTTTTAATACTGCGCTTAATGTTTTTTCAGTTTTTCTCTCTAGTTGTTCCGTACGTGAACATCCAGGGTTAGGAATTTTAGAACTTGCTGAGAAGGGTCCCTCCAAATCTCCCATTTGGAGATATTCAATTTTGATTATGAAGCTCTTTGTCATATTTATTTATTTATTTAGCATATGGCTGCATTACAGGTTCATATACATACATATAATATAAATTATATAAATTACAAACAACAGTAAATACAAAAATATTATTCTACAAACAAACATCTAGATTATAAATATATTCGATTGAATCTTTTGTAGCAGCCAGGAAATCTGAAGGGTTGCCGTTATAGGATCTAATCGGGCATTTCTCTACCATGTGTTTTACTGTTTGCCTTTCGGCGCCGCAGTCGCAATTTGGTGATTGTATTTTTCCCCATCTAAAAAGTGAGTCGGAACATGTGCCACAGTTTGTCCTTATTCTATTGAGTGTGGTCCAAATTCGTCTCGGTTGGTTGAAGCCCTCAGGTTTGCTTGTAATACATGGCATGTTCCAGTTAGCTGGTGCAGCGTTATTCTCCCATTGTTCTCTCCACCGTTCAGTTACATTAAAGTTTTGATCTACTAGCCTTTTTGCTGTTTTGAGAGGCGGGTGTCTTGAACGGAGCCTATTTATGTCTCTGGCGGAAGTTCCGACATGGGAGCGGAGCTCAGGATCAGTATTGATTTTTGTAAATTCTCTGACAAGGGCATGTTCCCGGCGGATGGGTGGTGGAGCTATATGACTCAAAGCTGGTAACCAGTAAGTGGGCGTGGCCTTGATTGTGCCCGATATAGTTCGCATGGCTTGGTTGAGTTGGACATCAACACGGTGAGTATGTGGACTGTTTATCCATACTGGTGCACAGTATTCCGCTACGGGGTATACCAGTCCTAATGCTGTCGATCTAAGTGTGGGTGCTGAGGAGCCCCATGTAGTGCCGCAGAGCTTTTGCAGGATGTTGTTACGAGTTTGGAGTTTTACAGCAGTCTTAGTAAGATGCTCTTTAAAGTCCAACGTTCTGTCAAGTGTAACACCTAAGTATTTTGAGTGCTTATTATATTTAAGGAGTCTATCCCCAAAATTAATTTGAGGTTGATAGTTGGCCATCTTGTTGTTCAAATGGAAGCAGGACACTTCTGTCTTAGTTGGATTGGGTTGCAATCTCCATTTGCGGAAATAATTCCCTAGGGCATTTAAATCGTTTGTTAGAATGCATTTAGTGACCTCGAATTCTTTATGACTTGCGGCAAGCGTCCAGTCATCTGCGTATCCAAACTTTTTTGATGTGGTTTCTGGCATGTCTGCTGTGTAGAGGCTGAAAAGCATGGGAGCCAGCACGGATCCTTGTGGAAGTCCATTATTCAGTTTTCTTTGGGTACTAGTCTTGTCTCCCAATATAACTTTAAAGCATCTGTTGGATAGCATGGCGTTAATAAACTCAGTGGTCTTTCTGCATGGGATTATTCGCAATAATTTATATATTGCCCCTTGTCGCCACACAGTGTCATAAGCAGCAGATAGATCGATGAAGACAGCGGTTGTTTTTATTCGAGACATATGGATACCTCTCATTTGCCTTAAAATAAGAGATATTATTTAAAGACATACCGGCTTTAATATTATATTGTCTAACATATTCAGGACACTGTTTAAAAGTACTTACATGAAAGTTACTATTACAATGGAGACATTTCATTATACATTCCCCTTCATATACTTTATCAGCACAATTTTTACATTTTTCATCCCTTCTACATTGATTTTTTGTATGATCAAAACGAAAACAATGATAGATGAAAACACTCTCTTGATGAACTGTCAATTTTCAAATAATTCTAGTTCTTTCTCAACTTCTATCAGTTCTCCAAAAGGAGGACAAAGTAGTCCTCCTTTTGAGCAGGGAAAAAGTATGTTCCCTACAGGTGAAATCCTATAACATCGACTTCGTGTCATTAGTTTAATAAATAAGTTCATGATTGTCATCTAATTTAAAGGTTTTTAAACCAATTTCTGTAGCTAGTTTTAACTTCTTCTTCTTCTTCAGATGCAAATCCACTAATGGATGTTAGCGAACACATTTTCCATTAATTCTCTATTTCTTGCAATATGTATCAGAGATTGTATGTCGTTAATCCCTGTCCATTGCCTTATGTTTCGGAGCCAGGACATTTTCTTGCGTCCCATTCCTCTCTTGCCTTCAGTCTTACCCTCGATTATAAGTTGGAGGAACTGGTATATTTCATTTCGCATGATGTGACCTAGATACGCCGTTTTTCTTTTCTTGATGGTTTCGAAAAGTTGGATTTCTTGGTTTATTCTTTTAAGGACATCTATATTTGTGATTTTCGCTGTCCGTGGTATTTTTAGGATACGGCGATAAAGCCACATTTCGAAAGCTTCTAATCTGTTTATATCCCTCGTTTTGAGTGTCCAGCCCTCTACGCCATATAGCAGCACTGACCATACGTAGCACTTAGTAAACGTTAGTCTCAGTTAAAGACTCTGAACAAGCCAGTACCTTCTTGAATTTTACGGAAGCTTGTCGAGCTTGCTCAATGCAATTTTACTTCCCTGTCCGATGCCCAGTCTTCAAAAAGCCACGATCCCAGGTTTTTAAATTTACTCACTCTTTCAATTGATTTAGTATTCAGTGTTATGGTGGAGTTTTCAAGTGCATCCAAGTTTCTGGAGATGATCATGAATTTGGTCTTTTTGGTACTAATCTCTAATCCCATTCGCTTACTGTATTCATCATCATCACCATCATCAGCATATCGTATGTTGTTGATCAATACTCCATTCACCTTGATTCCCATCTCTGCATCCTCCAAAGACTCTTGAAATATGGCTTCCGAATAAATGTTAAATAAAAGAGGGAAAAAGCACACATCCCTGTCGAACGCCTCTTCTTATATGTATGGGCTTGGATATAGAATTGTCTATTTTTTTAACAGTGCCGTTTGATGCCAGTACAAGTTTTCAATGCATCTTATGTCTTTTTGGTCTATATCAATTTTCTTGAGAATCTGCATTAACTTGTAGTGTTGGACACGATCAAACGCTTTATGGTAATCTAAAAAGCATACTCAACTGATCGTAATAATTTTGGACCAGCACCTGTGTTGTTACTATTGCTTCTCGTGTTCCTAAACCTTGCCTAAACCCGAACTGAGAATCACTGATGTCCCATTCACATTTTTTGTATAATCTTTGATATAGTATTTTTAAGAATATCTTTACAGTGTGACTCATCAGGCTAATGAGTCTGTGATCCTCACATCTTTTTGCATTGACTTTCTTGGGCAGGGGAATAAAGGTAGAGCGTAACCACTGTTGAGGGTAGCAGCCAGTTTCATGAATTAAATTAAATATTTTGTGTAGTGCTGAAATTCCCCTTTCATCTAGTAATTTGAGTATTTCTGACGGGATCTCATCTGGTCCAGGTGCATTATTGTTTTTTGAATTTAATATTGCTTTTTCTATCTCCTCTTTGGTGATTGAAGGGCCAGTCAGCTGGTCGTCTGTATAAACTTCACTCATGAGTTTTTCGTCATGGAAGAGCTCCTGGATATAATTTTCCCATATATCAATTTTCTCCTTTTCACCCAGCACTATCTGGTTATCCTGATTAACTATGGTAGTTGGTCTTCGTTTTCTGTATATTCCAGCAGTCTCCTTAAGCTTTTTATATAAATTGCGGTCGTCGTGCTGTCGTTGTAAATGTTCTAGATCGATACATTGTTGCTTAAGCCATTCATTTTTTGCTATTCTTATTTTTGCTTTTATTTGCCTGTTAATGTTTTCATACATCTTGCTGCCATCTTGGTCATTCTTGTGTCTTCGTCGTTCTTCCATTAGTAATAGTATTTCTTCTGTCATCCATTTTTACCTCTTGTTATTTCGTTTGTACCCTAAGTTGTTTTTCATGATGTCTGTTACAGCACTTGTAATCGTATTCCATGTTGGTGTTAGATCTTCGGTAATGTTTGTCGTCAAGATTTGAATTTGTGCGTTTATTTCATTTCTTATTTCTGCTTCTATACTGGGTCTTTCAGTTTATCCAGTGCTATCTGTTGTTGAGTTTCAGGCTTGTTCTTGCATGAAAGAGCGATCTGTATGACGGCCACTAATAGTACGTGGTCAAAAGGGACATCTGCTCCAGGGTATGTGCAAGCTCTTTTGACAGTTGTGCTGAATCTACCGTTTATAAGAATGAAGTTTTAACTACTCTAACTAAAATGTTAGTATTTTCCACATTTTTAGAAATTTGACAGCTAAAATTTCACCTATTTGTAGGTCATTTTAAAGTGGAAATATACTTTTAAGTTTCAATGATGATGGTACGACTGACCTGAAACCGTTTTGAAAAATTATAATCCTTTTGGATATATTTGAATTCTTTTTTAATAAAATATACCAATATACACTAGAAGTCCTTACTTCCTTGTAAGTTTTTTAAAGTAAATACTAAAGTATATAGCCGACCACTAGGATTTTCCCCTTTCACTTTGAAATATACAAGACACTACGTGACATGGAAATTAGTAAAAAAATAGTATGAATGATAAAAGTAACACTCGAAAAAACAGAGAATAGTGTTAAAATAAATGGAAAAGAAACCGATAAGTTTAAAGTCAGTGAGGGGGTGTTACAAGGCGATGCACTGTCATCATTATTATTATCTTTCTTGAAATAGTCGCCAAAGAAGTCTGAATTATTAGGAGAGAACTTGTATATTAACGAAAACACTAATGCCAGCATTTTCTGATGACATGGTACTGATAGCCAGAAGTAAACAATAATTAAAAGGAATACTACAAAGACTAGAAGCGAAAGCGAGAAAGAAACGAATAAACGAAGAAAAAATCCAATATATGGAATAGACAGAACAAGAATACAAACAAAGACAATACATGAAAATCATCATAGTCAGAAAAATATATAAATCCGAAGAAGTAGAAAGATTCCAATATCTGGAATCGACATCTAGCAGGAGACCAAATACAAAAGAAGAAATCTAAACCAAAATAATGGCTGGTAATCGTTGTATTTTTGCTCTAAACAACTACAAAAAAGTAAAAAAATATCTAAAAGAGCAAAGATAAGAATATACACAGTGATAAAACCTATAGCATTATACGCCAGTGAAATATGGACAAATCCGAACAAGTCATGCACACAAGTGTAGAGAAGAAAGATCCTCAGAAAAATATTTGGAGGAAGCTATGGAATGAAATGTGGATAAAACTAGGTACCAAATATAGAACTAGAGAGGATGTACGGAGAACCGAAAATCATAGATGGTTGGGATATATTTAAAGGATGCCAAACACGAGACTACTCAAAAGAATACTAACAAGAGAAATAGAAGAAGAAGAAAGACGGGCCGAAAACCAGGTCGAAGAAAGATGTTGTAAAAGATATAGAAGAACTTAAAATCATAAATAAGAAAAATAAAGCAAACAGAAAAAAATGGAAAAGAATAACAAACCAAGCCATGGGCCTTCTAGGTATTGAGAGCTAAATTAATACGAGCCCTAACAACTATATGTTGGAACAAGCAGTTATTTTGCGAATAAAATACAACCTTACCAAAATTATTTTATTTAAATGTTTTTTAATTGTAAATATGAAATTAACATTTTTTTATAATGTATGGTATGGTATTTTATGTTGATTACTATTTAATTAATTGTTTGACAATCAAAAAATGCTGACAACTAATATTGGAACAAGTTGTTTTTGAGAAATTAAAATAAATATTAATAAGGCGTAACGTCGCCCTTAGCTTGAATAACAGCCTGAACTCGATGAAGCATTATATCAACTAGGCTTTCACAGAATTCAAGGGTTAAACTATTCCATATTTCGTGCAATTTAGCACGTAGTTGTGGTAAAGTACGCTGAGGGTTATTTCTTGGGCGTTAATTCATTTTGTGCCAAAGTGTCTTTATTGGATTAAGTTCCGGACAGCTAGAAGGATCTGAAAAAACTTTAATGTCATGTTCTGTCACCTCGGGGTAAATGGTAAGGGTCTCAATCACCTTCTGTACCACCGTGTGCTCTGTAGAGGGCTTCGGAAACGTCGACGAAAGCCCCTCTACTTGAATCCATTTGCGGGGTATGGATTCGTAAAAGGTTTTCTTCTGATGAGCTCGTCTTGAAAAAGACGAGCTATTTCTTACATGACTTATAAGTCGAAATAAACATCAGGATGCAGTCTATGGTGGCTTACCTTGACAAAGGCAAGATATTTCTTACACGACTAAATAGTCGAAATAAAACACTAAGTTTAAAATTGAATACAAATCTCAGCCACAGAGTATAGGGTAGGCTAAAAGAAAAAGGCAGAGCCCCGAGAGCACTAAGCTCTCGGAGAGCCCGTGAAGGACTGACTTGATTGACCTGAAAATCGCCTATTTTTATACTTTATGAAGTAGCGATTAGGGATTTCCAGGTCAGGGAGAAGCCAACGGGAAAAATAAGGGGCGGGGCGATGCGTCTCGAACGTGAACTAGTCGCGTCCGAGAACAGTTCTCCCATCCATTTTTGGTAGATTTAGCTGTTTGACATGAGGCTTTAGACAGAGCCCATATCTGACCAAACAACTATATTAAAACTAATTCAAAAAATAATAGAATGGAGATCAAGCATCCTAATACCTCTATTCAAAAAGGGAGACAAATCAGAACCGGAAAATTACAGAGGAATTGATTTATTAAACTTCTTCTTCTTAACGTGCCCTATCAAGTCCCCTTGACGTTGGCGATTAATATAGCAAAACTGTCTCTGTCTGGAGCTATTCTAAATTGTTGCTCAGCTTTCCTTATTCCTGTCCACTCCCTGATATTTTCAACCAAGAGGCCTGCTTTCTACCAATTCCTCTGCGTCCTTCGATTTTACCCATCATAACAAGTGGAAGAATCGGTCTCCCCTTACTACGTGTCCAAAATGGGCCATATTTCTACATTTGATGTTATCAAGCAGCTCGCGATTAGCATTTGCTTTCTCAAGGACTGCCACATTTGTCAGCATAGCCGTCCATGGAATTTTTAGTATACCTCTGTGCAGCCACATTTCAAAAGGCCTCCAGACGATTAATGGTGGATATTTTTAATGTCCATGCTTCGACACCGTATAAGAGGACTGACCAAATGTAGCATTTAATCATGCGCTTTTGAAGTTGAAGTTGCAAGTTATCATTACAGAAGAATGACCTCGTTTTTAAAAATGTCGTGCGGGCTATTTCGATTCTACATTTTATCTCTTGATCTGGATCTAGTTGTTTAGTAATATGGCAACCAAGATAATTAAAACTGGACACTCTTTGGATTATATGAACATCAACATATAATCGTGTATCTTGAAGTGCTAAACGGCTAAACACCATGTGTTTTGTTTGTTTATGTTTAGGCCAAACTCTCTTTCCACTGCATCAATGGTATTTAAAAGGCATTGTAGTCCATTCATGTAATTACTTAAAATAACTGTATCGTTTGCATATCTGATTGTATTTATCAGAATTCCAATAACTTTCACGCCCCATTCCAGATTATCCAGCGCTGCTTTAAATATTCTATCTGAATATAAATTAAATAAGAGTGGGGATAGTATACAACCCTGTCTGACACCTCTTTGTATTTTACATATTTCTGTTGATTTTCCGTTTATGCAAGCAATTTATTAAACACAACACTAAAATTAACAACCAAAGTGATAACAAATAAATTGAATGAAATTATAACACTAGCAGAAGAACAACAAGGTGTTAGGTCGGAGAAGTCATGCACCGACGCTATATTTATAATGAGGCAAATGCAAGAGAAATTATTAGAATACAACAAACCGACATATCTATGTTTCGTGGACCTTCCAAAGTCATTTGACAGGGTCAAATTAAAAGATCTTATCCACTTACTATATGCAAGACAGATACCTCTAGGAATAATCAAAACGATCGAAAATATCTACCAAAACAACACAATAAAAGTAAACGTAGAAGAAGAACGAACCGATCCCATTGAAGCTGGCAATGGGATAAGACAGGGAGATTCCCTGAGTCCTCTATTGTTCAACCTGATTATGAATGAAACCAAATGGGAGAAAAACAACTTAAAATAATCTGCTATACAGACGACGCAATGCTACTCTCTCAAAGTGAAAATGATTTACAACGTATGCTGCGTCAATTTAATATAACCGCCAGAAAATTTAACATGTTAAGTTCCCCAACAAAGACAAAATGCATGGTTACAACAGCAAATTTACTAAAATGTAAATTGGAGTTGAAAGGTCAGATAATAGAACAAGTGATGGAGTTTAAATATATATTCATCACATTATCTAGCTACGGAAAGCTCGAAACCGAAGTGGAAGAGAAAGTGAATAGATCAAACAGAGCCGCGGGCTGCCTAAATGAAACGTATGGAGAAATAAAAATATCGGGAAAGAAACGAAAGGCAGAATTTACAAAACAGTCATCAGACCAATAATGACATACGCGGCAGAAACAAAACCTGACACAGAGTGGACAAAAAGAATGTTAGAAACAGCAGAGATGAAAACTTGGGACACAGCTAGAAGTACAGATATACGACATAGATGCAAGATGGAGAACATCAAAAACTGGATAAGAAATAGAACAGTAGAATGGAACGATCATATAAGCCGAAAGACAACAAATAGAGTAGCAAATGTGGCAAGAGACGGTTTCCCAATAGGAAGACGATCGGTAGGAAGACCACGAAAACGATGAAATGACAACTTACTGGAGGCACATTGAAAAACAGACAGAGTCATGTCTATATAAAAAGAAGAAGAAGACATAAGGCTCCGTCCTGTTGAAAGATAATATCCCCGGATGAATATATCATTGACGCACTTGGTAGAAACGAATGTTCAAGAATATCGTGATATTTCCCGACCCTTTGGCCGACATACAACCCCACACCATGATGCCCTGTGGAAACTGTACAGTCCTTTTGAGACAATCTTTATGGAATGGTTGTGTTTTTTTTCGAATCATACGCTTTCAATAATCTCCCACATAGACATCAAATTTGCTTTCGTCGCTATAGATAACTTTGTTCCAGTTATGTTTGGTCCATAAAAGTTTTTATTTAGCCCAAATATAACGATTCTTCTTTGAGTTTCAGTCAACAATAGTTTTTCTTTGGCCTACTCCAAAAAAAAGCAGAAAATATAAAATTTATATCGAAAATAAAAAAAAAAAACTCAAACATACACTATAAAGACTAAGACCGCTTTTGTGGATTTGCGGCAGTATTCTCTGGAAACATTGATCCCAGTTTCTCAATTTCACCTAGCTTACTTCCCGCAGTGTATTTCTTCTTTCCGACTTACATGTTCTAATTAAATGCCTTACACTCCTTTGGGAAACAGCTTTTGGACGACCTGAGCTTTTGCTGCGATAGTACTAGTGCTTGTAGTTTCACCATATTTCTTAATTATATTAAATACAGAAGTTGCTGCTACAGTTAATTGACTGGAAATTTCACGCATTGTTTTCCCTTTGTGGTACTGATGTATAATAAT